ATCTGAAACAGCAACAATTTTAACTTGAACTAATATCTCATTCAGGTTCAATTTAAAAATAGTAAATGTGTGCATATTTGATTTAATTCAATAATAGTAACCTGTTTATAATTTTCTTGCCTGAAGCCTTGATTTGCTTTGGCTCCCAAAATGTCAAATAAATTTCTCCACTTTGTAATGCAATGCGAATGATGACCATTAAATAATTTCCTTTGTTTTGATTATGAACAAATGAAAAGCATATCGGATTTTAGACTTTTGGGTAACAACTTATGCCTTCTACATAAATGCGGCAAGTAGCAAGTAGAATTCTGACTGAGGTAAAAAAAGGTCTCGCGTCACATTACAATCTAATTAAAAGTAAGGGCTTGAAGTAAGACATATGCGAAGTAATCAGATTAAGTGTTTTGAAATGTCGAAACCACCTCAAGATATACGCAGTCTATAATCCACCCTAGAATGATCCCAACTTTCATCTTCTGAACATTCCACACCAAACAGAATTATTAGGAGACTTCAACACCGATTCCACCAGATGGAGCTATAAGAATATGAATATAGCTGGAAAGGAAATTGAAGACATGCAAAACAACAACCCTCTAGAACTTATTTATATCAATGAGGTTCCTGCTACATATCAGCACTACAATGGAACTATAACAACTCTTAACTTTCTCCTGGCTTCAAGCGACATCAGTGAGCATACACGCCGCGAAATAATTGACGATGCTGGTTTTGGTCACAAACCAGTCATTGCTAATATTACCATGGGCAGCCAAAGCATGACATCGAAATTGCCAAATTAGTTATCATGGAACTTCAAGAAGGTTGACTTGCCTAGTTTCACAAAACTTTTGGAGAATGAACTTCACACAAGTCCACTCAGCTTCACCAAAATCCTGACAAATTTCGCAACGAAATGATGAATATTATGATCGATGTGCTCAGTTAACTATTCCCATGGCAAAACTAAACACAATCGACTTTTTTTGGTCTGAAAACCTTGAGAAACCGAAAAGAAAGCGGGACGCTCTCCGCAACACTACTTATAAGACTGGATAATCAGACGACGTACAAGCCTGGGGACAACAGTCATCTGCGCTAAGGCAAGCCATCTTGCAAGCAAAACGCACTTCCTTCAACAAGTTCATTTCAAATATCAACTATCAAAGTGATAGCCAACGCACTTTCAAATTTCTGAGAAACCTCCAAAACAACAGGGAAAGAACCAAGAATGCACAAATACGCCTAAACAACAAACCGATTAACACGGACTCTGAAATAGCTAACTACTTTGCGAGGTTAAGCACAAATACGCCTAAACAACAAACCGATTAACACGGACTCTGAAATAGCTAACTACTTTGCGAGGTTCTATCCTTACAGTCAAAAAATCCCTTTTGCTGAAAATCTTCAAGAGATATAAAGATAAATGTAAGAGAGTTTAGTAAAACAAAGGAAAGCGCAACGTAACAAAATAATCTACTTACAGAATGATAAATAAATAAACTAATATTGCAAAAAAGCCACTGCAATAAGTTAAAAATAAAATATTGCATTTCAATGTGATTTAATCTAGTAACGCAATCTTGTTTAATAGAGAAAGTCATGGAACTGAAGAAAGCATTACAAATCAAAGACAAACCAAAAACTTGCCTATACCTGTTAACCTATTAGCAGACATTGATGTTGAGAGTTACAACCAACTGCTTGACCACTTCAAAAAATCAAACCAGAAGAAATGTGCTCACTGGCTCTTGAGAAAATCAATGTCAACTATCCTGTAGATCAATGGCTCGAGGTGTTCACCGATAGAAAACCAAGTAAACCTTAAAGGAAGCAAATTGCTTCCCAAAACTGCTAAGATATCATAATGTAAAAACTCTATCCGTTGATGAAGGAAAAACAAAACAGTGTTCCTACAGTGGATTTCCGGTCATTGAGGCATTAAAGCAATGAGCTTGCTGACTCACTTGCTAAGATATGGACAACAATTTTTCAAGGCATAGACGGGTCGATGTTTTCCACACAATGAAGACCTTAATCAGAAGAGAATTCAAGACCTCAATGAGCAACAAACATAAAGCTTGAACAAAGGAGAAAGAGTGGCTAGTGGCACTCTGTGGCATTACCAAGTGGCCAAGAATTGAAGCCGTTGCTGAATTTAGACACGATTGCTTGTCACAGAACCTTCATAGATTAGGAGAAAACACTCAATAAAATGCCCTCTATGTAACCTTACAGGAGGAAATTTAGAGGACCTAACAGATTCGATGTCCAGGTATAAAGATAATGACGAAACACATAGATACTGGGAAAACAGAAGTCAGCGAATGAACGGCTATATATGTACCTTCTAACCCATAGAGGAAGCTGAAATCAAATAAAGGGCTAATGATAAATATCATAAAGCCTGAAATTTGAAATAATAATAATATTTTTCGTTTCATTATTATGCTTTGAAATTTTTTATAACGAAGGAAATTCTGAAGCATATACAAAATGCACTTCCACTACTTATTCATTTAAGTATAAATGGATATCAAATGATTAAAAATATACCCAATATCCTATTTGTGATTCAAATGGCTAAATTTTGAAGCGATGATTGGGTATTGGAAAATCGACTAAACTATTAAAATAAAATTACTATTTTGACTAATATTGACTTGCTTAAGTGGCACATTAAACTTCAAGTCATGATTTTAGGAGCATGATTGTTAGTGCCATCGGTGTTTTGTGAATTCGAAATCAGTCTCAGGAGTACAGCCTTGAAATTAATCGGCTGCTGAATAGTCACCCAATAAAGTGTTGTCACTCAAAGGCATTATGTGGGTCTAGGATGGTTTCGCTTGAAGCTCTTTGTATGCGATTTCTTATTTCAAAGGCATTTTCTCGAATAATCAATTGTCATTTGACAATTGCGAGTAACATTGTTATAAACTATCCACTTTTCGTCGCCAGTAACTAGGTTCTTCAGAAATGGATCATTCTCATTGCGTTTCAGTAGCGGCGAATCACAGATGCTAATGCGTTGCGTCAAATGAATTTCCTTTAACTGGTGAGGGATCCATAAATCAAGTTTCTTGACATAACCAAGGGTTTTTAATTTTTTTTCAATGCATGTATGCGACACATTGAGCTTCTCTGCAATATCTCGTGTTGTGCTGTGACGATTTGAATCGATAATGGCCTTGATATGGGTTTCATCCACTTCGACTGGGCGGCCAGATCGTTGTGAATTTTTCAGTAAAAAATCACCGAAACGAAATCTTTCAAACCAATTTCGACACTGCCTATCTTCCTCACGGCTTCATCTTTATATACGGCACACAACTTCTTTTGTGCTTGCGATGCGTTCTTGCCTTTTCGGAAGTAATACAATAAAATGTGTCGGAAGTGCACGTCCTGTTCTTTCATTTTTAAATTGGGATAAAAACAAAACTAAAGAACTAAACAAAAAATTGTTTACTAATTAACCTAGAAGCCCATACAGTAAGAAAAAAATATAGGTTAGATGCTCTGGCCACGTTAACAAAACAAAAGAAAGTATAGAGTGAATCTGTCAACAAAAACGACAATGACTTAGTTGCCAGCCCAATAATAGCAGTACTAAAAAGGGCAAATACCCCAGCAACTTTGGCAACTATAGGCCAATCTCTTTCAAAAGCGTGCTGGCTAAACTTATAGAAAGAATGGTTAACAGAAGGCTGACCTGGTTCTTTGGGACCAATAATATTCTTAGGAGTCAATAAGCAGGTTTTAGTCCACAAAGATCAACGAACTAACAAGTAGCCACTTTCTCCCTTTTTAGGTCACAATGATCAACGAACCAACAAGTAGCCACTTTCTCCCAACGGAGACCAAGCAACCCACCATTCTTGCACTCTCAAGTAGTCACTTTCTCCCAACACATCAAAGATGCCCTTGAGCGAGAAATACATACAAACACATCAAAGATGCCCTGGATGCAAGAAATACCCTTACGACCGTTTTCGTGGATTTCAAAACAGCATATGACTTAGTAGGGAAAGAGAAGCTAATTCTAAATGGCAAGATTGGTATTAAGCATAACATGCTAAACTGGATAAAAACCTAGTAGGGAAAGAGAAGCTAATTCTAAAATTGGCAAAGATTGATATTAAGCATAAAATTCTAAACTGGATAAAATCAATCATTGGACAAAGATCGTGTTAAGTCTGATACGAAAATGCTCTATCAAAATCCAATCTTTTACAAACAGGTCTTCCACAGGGGGCTGTCACAAGCTGCACTCTTTTCAGTGTCTTATAGGGCTGTCACAAGCTGCACTCTTTTCAGTGTCTTCATCAATGCTCATCATTGACATAGCCGAATTGGTACAGACAGTCACGGGCGTGGAGTGCTTACTTTATGCAGATGATCTTGTTCTAGGGTATTACGTGAGTACTTTACGCAGATGATCTGGTACTATGGTATTCCGCCCCCATGAAAAACGCTCAGGAGAGGACCTAAATTGTGCTCTTAAACTACTAGCAAACTGGTGCGACAACCCCCTAAGAAAAACGCTCAGGAGAGGACAGAAAGTGCCCTAAACTGTGAGATAAACGCTCAGGAGAGGACAGAAAGTGCCCTAAATTGTCACTTATGCTACTAGCAAACTGGTGTGACAACAATGGAATGGTAATTATTGGGAGAGGACAGAAAGTGTCCTAAATTGTGCACTTAAACTAGGGTGGGACGACAATGGAATAGTAATTAACACCGCGAAAACTGCATTCGAAACCTTTACTTTGGCCCATCCCAGGATAAACCTGCTTCTAAGGTACAAGGATACAACCCTAGAATAAACCAATGAGTTCACATATCTTGAAATGACGTTTGACACAAAGCTAACGTGGAAAAGTCACATTGCTAAAATAGCAGAACGAGTCTCCAATAGACTGAATGTACTGAAGCGTCTTGCTGGTAACGTATGGGGCTGTGCCCTCAACTCTCAACGCTACTTACAAGATATTTATTCAGCCAATAATGTTGTATTGCTGTGAGCCACTCATTACAGCCACAGAGGTGACTCTCAAACCACTCGAGAAGGCACACAACCAAGCATTACGACTAATTACTGGAGGGATAAAATCAACACCCATTGATGCAATGCTCCTAGTTACAGGAAGCACCACAATAGGTTCCCTTATCAAAGAGAAGGCCTTGATCGTGTATGAGAAGCTACGGGCATTCTCATGGATAAGTTCTTCAGCATCTAAGAGAATAGACCTAGACATCTGAAATCGCAATCTGGTCTTATACAGAAAGCCATAGAACTGAAGAAAGCGTTACAAATCGATGATAAACCAAAAAAGCCTCTCTCCCCCATGAACCCATTAGCAGAATGTAGTGTGTTGCACCCAACTGCTCGACTTCTTCAGGAACTCATTCTCTCCCCATGAACCCATTAGCAGACATTGATGTAGTGTCCTCTTCCCATGAACCCATTAGCAGACATTGATGTAGTGTGGTGCACCCAACTGCTCGACTTCTTCAGGACCTCCCGAGCAAATGCGCTCACTGGCCCTTGAGACAATCAATATGGGAAAGCCAAGGAAACGTTGGTGCAGGTGTCTATTCTGAACTCTTCTCATCAATGGCCCCTAGTCATTACTGATGGGTCATACATAGAAAAAACATTGGTGCAGATGTCTTTTTTGAACTCTGTTCTTTCTTTGCAACAGCGAAACACAATATATCCGCTATTGAAGGAGAAATAGAGGCCATTAGGAAAGCACAATGCCAATAATGTTGCCTGGATACGAAATTTACCAAAGCGGTGATACTTTCGGACTCACAGTCAGCAATAAACTCAATTGGAAACAGAGAGCCATCCAAAACAGCTGAGATATTGGAATGAAGAAAACTCTATAAGATATATTAGAGAGAAAAACAAAACTGTGATCCTACAATGGATTCCTGGTCACTGTGGCATTAAAGGCAATGAGCTTGCTGACAAACTTGCTATGAAGGGTACAACGATTTTGCAATGCATGGACCGGCCGATGTCTTTCCACACAATGAAGGCCTTAATCAGGAGAGAATTCCATACCTCAAGGTGCAACGAACTTAAAGCTAGAACAAAGGAGAAACAGTGGACAGTGGCACTCCCCGATATAGCCGACTGGCCAAGAATCTAAGCCGTTGCTGAGTTTAGATTACGTACCGAAAACGATTGCTTGGCAAAACATCTTCACAGATTGGGAGTATACACTCAACCCACATGCCCTCTATGTAACCTACAAGAGGAAATCTGGCGAAGCACCTTCACAGATTAGGAGTATACAATCAAAACACCTTCACAGATTGAGAGTATACACTCAACCCACATATACTCTATGTAACCTACAGGAGGAAATGGAGAAGTCCCACCTGTCTATGTGACCTACAGGAGGAAACGGAGAAGACCCACCATATGTAACCTACATGAGGAAATGGAGAAGACCCATCTGATCTGTAACCTACAGGAGGAAATGGAGAAGACCCACCTGATGTGAAACCTACAGGAGGAAATGGAGAAGACCCATCTGATTCTCTACAGGAGAAAATGGAGAAGACCCACCTGATTCGGTGTTCAAAGGAGGAAATGGAGAAGACCCACCTGATTCGGTGTCTAGCGGAGGAAATGGTGATGACCCACCTGATTCGGTGTCCAGCTCTAAAGACAACGCAGACCCACCTGATTCGGTGTCCAGCTCTAAAGACAAGGACATGGAGTCTGATTGTGAAACCTACAGGAGGAAATGGAGAAGACCCATCTGATTCTCTACAGGAGAAAATGGAGAAGACCCACCTGATTCGGTGTTCAGACTTGAAAGACCCACCTGATTTGGTGTCCAGCCCTATAGACAAGGACGGAAAGCCAAAGATACTGGGAAGTAAGAAGACAGCTAATGAATTGCTAGCAATTAACTGCTATAAATGTGCCTTTCACCCTTGGGGAAGCTGAAATCGAAGTTTAAGGGCTAATGATAAATATTATAAAGCCTGCCATTTGAAATAAATATACAGTTTTTGAATTGCACTGTAGTTTGTACATTGAAAAACATAGTTACCTAATTTGGAGTTCGGCTTAGTGATTTGATGATAATCGTGTAAACAGTTGTAGATCTCGCACCCCTTCTTGCCATCAGTTTGCAAAATCATTGAGCAAAGTTCACAACATTGTTCAAATCATTTTAAAAGGTGTAGGTTCATTAATCTAATGTTAAAAAATTAAATATTGCATTTAAACTTTTAGAATATTTTCTTTCTTATTGACTACGCCCTTAGAGATTCAAATAAATTTCAACATTATGATTATAATTATAAGTATTCTCTATTAATTAAGCTTGAATTTCAATATTACTTACAATTACAGAGTATCGAACCTCAACTCTTGGAAACTTCTGATGACATTCCTAATAAGGTAAATTCCGTTTCGCTTTGTATAATTGAAAAGGAAGAAGAGAAATGCGAATGCGCTCCAGACTGAACGGTTTGCGTTTCTGGAGAAAAAATTGAGATCTTTTGTATAGCCCCCCCCCCTCCTACTAGTGAACCAAATTCCAATAATCATGCAATGCCCAATCCAGATGAAATTCTTAACTTTCAACCTACGTGGATCCAACTTAATTTGATCCCTTCTAAATACTAATCTAAAGATCTTATTTGTGCACGGAGGATTATTTTCAAGCTTGAACTTACTGAGTCGTGTCAAATGGAATAATTGGTTATTCAAGAAATTGCCTTTGAAATAAGAAGTTGGAATTCTCTAACACCATTTTCACCCATCCCATGTAGTCATTAAAATGAAAATCACATACAAACAGCGTCATGTGAAACCACCCTAAACCCCCATAATGTCTTTGAGTGTCAACACTTTATTAGGTTTTATATTTGAATCTGTGGAATCTGTGTTGAAGTCTCCTTATACTTCCTTTTGGTGTGATATGCTCAGAAGATGGAAGTTAGGACTTTTCTGGGGTGGCTTATAGACTGCGTATATCTTGAGGTGAGTTTGACATTTCAAAACATTTAATCTGATTACTTCGCATATATCTTGCGTCAAGCCCTTACTTTTAACTAGATTGTAATGTAACGTGAAACCTTTTTTACTTCAGTCAGAATTCTATTTTCTATTTTAATTTCCATAAATTAGTGAAAGAAATTTCCTGTGAAAATTTAATTTATGGAAAACATTTATGATTTTGAAGTGCAACATGCATATAGTGAAAGCGTGAATGTTGTTTCCAATTCAACAGTGAACAGTGAAGGCGTTATTTAGAGATAGCGTTTCATAAATTCAAATTAGCATAGCCTTTGTCTTTGATACCTGTTTCGGAAATATATTGTTGAATTAGCAATTAACGTACAATTTTTTTCAAATTTGATTTTTACGAATAAGTAAATATATATAAATATTCACAAAACAACTACCCACAATTGCCAATTATGGCCCATTTTTCTGTAAAGTAGCCCTTGAAATTATGAACAATTATGAAAAATTAGCAATTTATTCCAAATGCGTCTTGAATTATATCTCATTAAAAAATGCCGTTAACGCACAGTTTAATCATATCTCGCCTCACAAAATTCTCAAATCCTAATTTCTGCATTAAAGTTTTTTACAAGAATGAATTGATTTGCAATGAGGAAATGCTAGCATTTTGACAACTAATCTGATATTGCGATATCACTTTTATTCAAATTAAGTACTTTTCGTGACTGTAATTTTTGCATCCAGGTAAAATGAGATTTAACTGCTACAAAATATAATGAGACCCGACAAAAGATGCTTTGTTGGAATTGCAAACTTGAACAAAATTTAGATATTGGCTTTGATTGTGATTTTAAATTCATGTTGAATTGACTTAACTGTTTATAACTGCCTTATTACTCAGAAACTTCATTAATTAAATGCATTCTCTTTATGTACAACTATCCTTGTATAAATCGGATTTACTTAACTGGTTAAGTAATGAGTTAATTGGTGTAGAATTTATACGGGGCAATGGACGTGGAAGAACATCACTTTTAACAACTTTCCGATGCAGCTTAGTTTGAATTTAAAATTTGCAAATCCTGATCAGTAGGACTTTGAAAGGCTTACAAATTCGCATTTTCGAAGTGCACAATGCGTTAAGATAAGATATACACGATTCATTTGGATTGACCTAGTGAAGGCAACTGTAAAATTGATATGATTGTAACTGCAATTCCATTTCAACCATCCATTTTGAGGAATGAATAAACCAACACATTCATCATCTTGATTGAATTAAATGTCCCTACTTATTTTGAACATTCTTAAGGATTGAGCCAAAGGTCTTATATGTGCGCGAAGGATTATTTGCAAGCGTGGTTTTAATGGTTCGTGTTAAATGGAATAAACCATTATTGAATTTAATGCCTTGAAATGAGAAGTTGGAATTCTCTACTACAATTGTCACGCTTCTCATATGGTCATTGAAATGATAATCACATGTAAACGGCTTCAGGCGAAAACTTCCTAAAGCTTAGTAATGACAACACTGTATTGGGTGTTCATTCGGCAGCCGATTTATTTCAAGGCTACACTCCGGAAACTAAATAGACTGTGTATAAACTCCGCTGACTTGAAGTATAATGCGCTACTTAAGCTAGTCAATATTTGAATATAAGGAAGCTTATTTTACTAGTTAAACCGATTTTCAAACACACAAGCAACGGTTTAAAATTTAGCCATTTGAATCAAATAAGAGGGGTTTGGGTATATTTTACGCAGACCTTCTTTTTCTATCTAGATGTAATAATTACAGTCACAAAAATGCTAAATTTGAATAATGGTAATATGATAACATCAGATATGTTGTCGATATGCCAGTACTTCCTTACTGGAAAGCAATCCTTCTTGAAAAATCATTTATAGAGAAGTTAGGATTTGAGAATTTTGTGAGGCGAGAGATGATTAAACTGTGCGTTAACAACATTATCAAAGAAGACACAATTCAAAGTGCGTTCGGATTAAATTGCTTGTTGTTCATAATTGCTCAAAATATGTGGACGATTTTTAGGGTTACTTTACTGAAAAATAGGCCATTATTTGCAATTGTGAGAAATTGTTTCGTGGAAATTAATTCTAATTTATTTATTTGAAGACGTCTATGGCCATCATAATCACAAAGATCATGAAAAGCCAGACATTGAAATGATCTCGCCAAATCTAATCATCTACCTTTAGGCATTAATGGCTAAATATTCCTACTATAAAAATAAA